CGCTACACGTGCCGCGCACACAACGCTCTGGGCGCCGTCGAGCACTCCGCCAGGCTCGACGTCTATGGTCGCTCCCAGAGCACAATGCTCCGCTATATACACTCATACTACTAATCAGGTTTGCCTGACGACCGAGGACGTTGTCAAGGGCGATGCTACCAGGCGGCCGCTAATTTCTAGTAGACATTTTATAATAACGATAAAAAAAATTGTAAGGATTTGTATAATTAAGTTGCTTGATGGAAAGGAGGTAACGCTTTTTATAAATGTTTAAATATAAATAAGTCCTATATTATTATTTATCTATATCACCTTCGCGGTCGTCGTTTCGTCATTGACAATAATGGTCGTAAGGATCCTGTATGGGTGGTGAGTGTCACTGGTGCGCAGGTCCGCCGGCGGTGCGCGCGCTGGCCGCCGTGCGCGCGGTGGCGGGGGAGAACGTCACGCTCCACTGCCCTTACTCCGGATATCCGATCAGGTCCATAGAGGTGCATGGCACTAAATATCATTAACGTAGCTTAAAGATTTTTTTTTAAATCGAATGTGTCACACATATCAATATGTTCACAATGTACTCGTAAAATTATTTAAAGTAAACTTTCATTTTGTGACCAGATGCAGTTTATAGTTATTATTATTTTAGCCGGATAGGCTCCGAGCCCCTTAATAACGTCGTATAATAAGCTGCAGATGATTATCGTAACAATAGGCCATTATGAACTCGATAGCACGATCTTTTTAATCAATTTATTAAACTTTTCATATTTTATGACTAGCTGTTCCCGTTTATCTTATTGATTATATTTAAAATAATTATACAAATGACAAAATTACCGTTACCATAATAACCTTGCTTTCTTAATGTTGGCAGCTTCTAGTCTTTGGTCCCTTTCCCACATCAAGCTTGTATGAAGCGTGTCGTAAGCTTTTTATTAATTCAAAAATATGCTGTGATTGCTGACATCCTACACCACAAAGTAGAGTGTGTTTACGCTTTATTAACTACAAGCAGTTCTCGTGCGGCTTCATCCGCATGAAATCATAAATTTTTTGTTTGCATTTGTCAAATTCTCAATTGCAAATGTCAAAATACCAATTACTTCACTATGACAATCTTGCTTTCTTGATGTTGGCAGCAACTTATGGTCTCTTTCCCACATTAGGGTTTTTATCCAAAATATTTACCCCTAAGTTTAATAGCGTTAAAATATATAGCCTAAAGCGTGACGTAAGTGTAGGGCTTGTTATTAAAAAAAGAATTTTTCAAAAATATGCTGTAATTGTTGAGGTCTTAGGCAACCAAGAAGAGTGTGTTTACGCTTTATTATAATAGTATAGAAATATAGATGAGTATGTTAAGTGTGCGCGTGCAGCTCTGTGTGGTGGCGCCGGGCGGGGGGCGCGGGGGGTGCGCTGGACGCGGGGGGCGCGGGAGGCGCGGCGCTGCACCTGCGGCCGGCGCGCGCGCGTGACTCTGGTCGCTACACGTGCGGCGTGGCGGCGCCGGGAGGTGCCACTGCCACTGGCGACATCGACTTGCAAGTCCGCAGTGCGTATCACATAATCTATACAAAAAAAAACTTTTTAATGTTAAAACAAAAAAAAAACAAAACTGACTTCCAAACAAAATACACTAAAAACAAAATATTCTCAAAAAACAGCGCACTAAAGTAACGAAATAATTAGTTCAAAATAGTAAACCTTCCTTATTATAGCTGTTATGTCTATATAGTACAATTGTAATTACTTTGATGTTGGTGTCAGCCGAGGTCTGTAATGATATTTCTACGTAAGGCTTTTTACATTTTTACCATAACAATTGACAATTGAAAGTATAGTAACTTTTAAGTAATCAATCTACATTGACTGATAATATACTACATTCACTCATAATATTTTGCGGCCGCGCGCCGCTGTTGCCCGTGTTTTTTAATATTTGGATAACTTCTAGAGTCTTGGTCAGAATTACATACTGCAAAAGGCAATTATGATCTACATTTAATATTCTAACGTGAAAACATAATTATTTAGATGAGGATTCATACCAAATAAGAATAAAACCGTTCTAAACGAAGTAAATTGCATTTATTTGATGGTATTCGCGAAACAAACGGTTATTGCGCGACAACCTTAAGAGATAGGTATGTTCTATCGCAGACTTTAATTTAGCTAATTTAATAAGATTCAATTCTTTTATACATCATTTTTATGTAGGTTTTACAGTTTAGGCTACGTAAGCAAAGAAAGCAAAAAAAACAAACATCGCGATTTTGAGCTGAACTATTTAACTACGTCGTTAAAAAATAGAATTATCAAAATCCATCCACTAGCAGCAGAGTTATGCCGTAACACACATAAAAAAAAAACATACAGACGAATTGAGTACCTCCTTCGTTTGGGAAGTCGGTCAAAAAGAAACCGTATTATGAGATCATGATATATTTGCATTGCTGATATCGTAGAACTAACTTGTTAAATTTTTGTCTGTCAGTCTATCTGTCTGTATATCTGTGTGGCCAGGCCACGTTTGTTCTGGGTAATCTCCGGAACGGCTGGACCGATCTTTACGGGTCTTTGCCTGGAAGGTACGTATCTGATGCACACGGACATATTATAGGTTACTTTTTTCTGGTCCGCGCTGAAAAAACCGCGAGCAACTGGTATCTCTAAACCTGGGATCAGTATAAATAACGATACGACCCTTAGAACACAATAACAGCTGGTACAGAAAACACGGAAACACCTAAAACGGTGACCACGTAACTTTGTGATGAGAAGCATTTCAAAAAGCGCACTTAAAGAACAAAAAGAAGCTAATAAACGACAATCAAGACAAAAATTAGGTAGTCAAGTTTAAAAACTTGTATTTGTAGATCCTCCGAAAATATCTCCGTTTATGTTCTCGTCGGAGCTGACAGAGGGCAGCGCAGCGCAGGCGCTGTGTTCTGTGGCGACCGGCGACAAGCCGCTCTACTTCTCTTGGCTTAAGGACGGCCGCCCCCTGCCCGCAGACCTACAGGTGCCACTCGTGTAACCACCCCAGCCCCAACTCATTTTTCTTCTATTCGCCCCGCCAGCCGCCACTCACCTACGATAGAGAGAATAGTTTGCCAAAATGGGCAGGCACGCCAGTTGTAATACCACGACCACACAGTAGACAGGCGTGAAACGGAAGCAATTCCCTGTTTCGTCTGACGAGTGTGGTGCCGGAGGCCTAATTTAAGTCACTTTCTCTTTACCACTCTTTTCTTATCCGGAGAGGATTGGAAGGGGAAGTGGATTTTACGGTAGAGGAGATGCATAGGAAGGGGAAATATCATCTTTCTGTGCGTTTCCTTCTCCGTCGGATAGGGGTAGGCAACGCATCTGCAATTGCGGATGTCTATGGGCAGCGGTCGATTCGCCATGTTATCGGATTCAGGTGGCCGGTTGCTCATTTGCCACCTTATGCTATAAAAAAATTGTGTTACATAAGGTTTTTCAATTATTACATTTATTTTTTTTTATTCCAGATGCAAGTTTTGTGCGAGCCTCTTATATTATTATCTGATTATATGTAAGAAAACGGCAAAAACATACATTCCTTTTCATCACCACGACATATCTTCGGCTCTTCGATTTAGATATGAAATGCATAAAACTCTAAAATAATTTTTTAACTCGTCTGCTTATATTTTCCATTTCTTCGATCATATTACGTAATGAGCCAGCGCGTCGTCGCTCACAGATCGAGGAGAAGAGTCTAAACGAGTTCTCGCTGCTGGTGTTCCCCGCACTGACGGCGCGCCACAGCGGCTCCTACACTTGCC